GTGGGTGGCGGGGTGGGGGTGAACGGGCGCTTCGGAAGAGCTGTGCCGACAGGAAAAGCCACCCTGCAGGCTTCTTTGAAGCAGTTTCTTCCTGGGCTGGTGGAGGAGCGAGAGAGCGACTGAGAGAGGAACAAGGCAGACACCTGAGGGATGAGGCTGAGGGAGGGAGGGAGACACCTGAGGGATGGGGCTGATGAAGGCAGGGCCGAGAGGGGCTTCTCAGCCATCCTGCAGGGACTATCTGTCGCTCAGGGTTGCAATGAGGAGGCATTGGCGCTTCCTGAACTTGGTGATTTGCTGGCAGACGTTTTATTACCCGACTAGGTAACAACATCAGATGTTACCTAGTCAGATAATGAAACGTCTGCAAGCAAACCACCAAACTCGGACTCCCCCCTCCCCCCCCTTGAAAAAGTGTTTCTGCGTGAAACTGGTCCCTGGCACAAAAAAGGTTGGGGACCACTGGTATAAAAGAACTCTTACTGCAAAAAGCTTAGAAGTATCCAGCATACTAAATATTTAATTAGTTCTTTGAATATTAATCAACTTTCTTAATAGCTCCTTCAACAGGATTAGCAAAAAAGAATTAATTCATGGGATTATAAAAATATTTTAGTACATTTTGAAATATTTGTGACGTATTACTATTTTGGAAATTTTAAGTTGGTTACTGCGGGCTGTGTTTTTTCTGTGTTGTAAAATTATTTCATAAATTTGCTGGTAGTAAAATATTTAGAATAAAAAGTTCAGGTGAATAATTCAATTTGGAGGAAGCTAATTATTAAACAATTTCCAGGTTTTAATTTTCTATCAATTATTTTTTTTTAAAAAAAAAAACAAGTTTTATTAAAAGTTTCAACAACAAACAAATCATTACATATTACATCTTTCCCTGTCTTTCTACAATAATTTCCCCAATATTCTCATAAAACACAAACAAACACAAACAAACATAAAAAAATCTTTTAGTAAAGTACCTTGGCCCCAGTTACCTCTCTTTGCATGGGCAGCGCATATCACTCTTCACAATTCTATCTTATTTAATCCATCTTAATTAAATCATTAAATTTGTATCTTTTGCCCATTCATTATCCCTCTATCTCTTCTTATAATAAAAAGAATTTCTCCTGAAATCACTAATCAGAGTATGATGCCTTTCTATCCTCCCCCTAAGTTAGTAAAATTAACATTCAACATAACAAATACCCAATTTGGTTCTGCTTGGTACATTCTATCCACCAAAAATGTTTAAATACATTGTATCCTCCTTTCCTTCAATATTTTATTACATTTTAAAAATCAATCATTATTAAAAACTTCAACATTTTAATTTCTTATTAAATCTTAAACCATTCTAATTTACTATTTCAAATATAAATGTTACAATACCATCTTCTGTACCTTAGCAGAATCTTTCTTACAAAAGTTTATATTTCATCCTTTGTCTCTAAAAAAAATCCCTCTTCTCCCATCCAATTTTAAAGCTTTGAGGCTTTTCTCCGCCTTTCCCCTTTCTTTCTTCCCCCACCAAATCTTCCTACCCCCCCTTCTTCTTCTAACCTCTGCCTTGCTGGGATCCCTTCTCTGTAGAGTTCCCTTTTTCTCTTGTTTGCTATCATTATATTTACTTTGCATCATATTTTTCTCTTTCTCAAATGTTTTTTTAGATCTTAAGTCCTTCATTTTCCTTGCTCTCTTCCTTCCTTCTTCCTTAGATAAGTTTTGGGATTCAATGAAGATGGCGTCTTCGTCTCTTCCTTGTTGTTCTTCTTCCGTTTCCATCTGTTCCATTGTCTGTTGGTAATTGACCAGCGCCATTTCTAGAAATAGAAAAGCTTTTTCCATGCCATCTTTGCAGGCTGCTTTTGTTTGTTCATATTCATCCCTCAGGTCTTCAAAAAGGAAAGCCATTATAAATAAATCTTTTCTTTTCTTTATTCCTCTTTCTTCTTACACCAACCAAATATTCCGAGAGAAAGGTAAAACAATCCCAAAGTCCACAATCCTCAATAAATCCAAGCAAGCCAAAATTCCCCCTTCCTCTTCCAGGGGTGGTATCAAACCAATAAAAAAAAAAAGAGTCCAAATCTATATTTTAAAGCCTTATTAAAATTATATTTCTGTCCTCAAATCTTCAAGGCATCTCCTCCAACAAAATCCAAATTTATATATTTTCTTTATCCTCTCCCTTCCGGCTTAATTCCGTCGGGAGGGAGAGTAAACTTTCCTTTCAGCACCTCAAAATAGCCGCTTTTTTTTTCTCTTGTGGAAAGAATCATCAAAAAACCATCTTTTCCAGGAATTAAATTAGATAAATCTCAAAGCCCTGGGTCGACCAAGAAGAACTTTCACTTTCAATAACTTTCTCTTCTTCCTCCTGCGCATACTTGCCCGGCTGTCGACTTCTTTGTGGCGGCCATTGCGGACCGCCGCTGCACCGTCCTGGTAAAAGGGGGTTCTGCCGGCCAGGGAGGGGGTCTGCAACACCCCCAAACCCTTCCTCCGGATCCCCCTTACCTTCAGCTACCCCTGCAGGGCAGCCTTGCTCCGCACCCGTCCGGGTCGGAGCCCCAAAACGGCTAGCGCGGCAGGGATCGCGCAGCTTCGCGAATCCCTACCGCTCGCGAAGCCGACAAACCGGAAACTCCAATTTTCTATCAATTATTTTGAAATGCCTTTTCCTTAGTACATTTTTATTTTCTTAACTTCAGGAGCATTCTAGTGCCAATTCTATACATTATGATATATATATTTTAAGGAAAAAACTTGCAAGTTCTTGTACAAAGCTTAGACATCCTTTTTGTATAAGATGGAAATAAATCTATCTGTATGCAGAGAGCCAATACTTTCAAAGATGAGACTATCTATGTTGTAAAAAATATTCAAATTGCATACTGGGTCTATGAATGCGAAGACAGACAATTTGTCTTTTATTATCCAAAACAGAAATGCTCAAATTCTACTGGTTCAAGAGCTTGTTCGAAGCTGTAGTTTAAAAATGAACCAAGCCAGGATCTAAAGTGGGCTTGATTCTTTCGAGTTGGGATTTTTAAAGTGGGTGGTGGAGTTAAGATTTTTAAAGGGAAAAATGCATTAAGGGGTAAAGGCACACCAAAGACTAAAGGCATCCCTTCTCTGTTTTAATCCACAAGCCTTCCAAATCTTTAAAAGGTAAATTAGTTGATAGTTGATCTTGCCCTTCTATAGTTTGTTATTAAGAATCTTTCTACAAGCCCTTTTCCAATTGTCCAAAATATAAGGAACCAATTAAAGAAGTCTTTGAATTTGGAACATTGATACCAGAAAGAATTTGCTTGTAGTAACCTGAGCAAAAAAAAAAAAAAAAGTGTTATGTAAGTGAAGAAAATATTGAAGAAACTGAAAAAGGCTTTTTAAACTGACATATGGCTGACTTTAGTTGCTGGCAAATACATCTTAAATCTATTACAGTAACATCTTTCTACTGTTGTAATAGCTGGGGTCTTGCCTTAGTTCAAAGCAGCTAGGAGAGTGGTCAAAAGCCATTTCCAAAAGTAACATTGACAAGGACATTTTGGTCATTTCCTTTGCTGGGAAAATTGAAAACGCCCATTAAGAAATATTTTTCATATCTTTTAACCAGGCTTTAAATGTTACAATAACATCAAAGAGAATATTAGCATTATTTTGAACCAGGGTCTCTCTTCCTCTGGAATACAAGAATAGAGCCTTCTCAATAACATTTGCACATTCTAACTTTTCCTCTGGATTTTCTGTGATCATCTTAAAAGGCATTGCTTTTGGTTGATTTCCATTTATTTTTATTGTATTGAAAAGACTTGAGCATTGCCGGTTGCCTTTTATCTTTCATTGCTTTTCCTATAAGTCATCAGATATAAATGTAAAAAATCATTAATTTGACTATTTCAGGTAATAAAGCAAGAAGAAAAAATTGAAAAATAACTTCTTTTTTCCCAGCAAAAAAAAATAGACTTATTTTGTTTTAAATTTTTATCACTTCTGCCAAAGCCTTTCATCAGTTATAGCATTACAGACTAGTATACCTTAAATCTTAGCTAAGATTTAAGGTATACATTTGTGATAAGGCTGTGTTTTCATGTCAATGCAAATGTTTTCAGGCATAAACCTACAGAGCTTTTATATACATGCAATTAAATATATGAGATTTTCTATTATAGTCTTTCATCAGATATCTCCCAGCCAAGTATTTCATTTGTCTGGCCAATTCCCAAGAAATGTAAATAGTTGACATATTTATATATTTATTTTTGGCCCAAATGGACATCTGTTATGTGAAAGGAACTTAACTGACCTCCATAAATAAAATTTGGTTTGTTTTTATTATATTACTGATTTTTGATGTATACAGAGGTTTCAGTATTATTAACAGCAGCATCTAATGAAAGTCTCCTTTGGACCACTAGATATCACTGTGGAGTCAAATTTTAAATGACCTGTTATCTATTAGTTTTCTTTGCTTTTCTCCCTCTACCTTGTGCAGATTCAACTTTGGAGAAAAGAGTTATAATAACAAAGAATGAAAGTTAAATGTAGGTCTTAGGTGTTCCTGTATTGATACTTGAACAAGGCCATTAAATCTGCAGTTGTGTATAGTTAGGTTTAAAAGCTACAAAATAGTTCTTTGTAAATTTCCATATATCTTTGTATAGCAAGTCTCTAGAAAATGATGTTAGTAGCTTTGATGACATTACAGATCAAAGGACAGAAATTGAACTGTGTAAAATACACACAAACACACACAAAACGTATATCAGAGCAAGTACAGTTATAAATCTAGTCCTGGGATGGTGTGCAAATTCTATCTCCAATTTACACAGCATGTGTGCAAAGCCACTATTCCCCCAGTTAAAAGCGCACACCTTAGCATGCTTTAATGACTGAAGCTATTCCCTTTGTACCATCGGGTTTGGCCTTCAGACATTTAACCACACCCTTAGTCTTTGGCTTGAGTATATTGTACATAATGTCTGATATCTATAAACTCCTGGGCAAATATGGGCTTCCTTGCTTACTATGATCATATAGTATAGTAGATGAAAAGTAGTTTTTGTTCAGTAAAAGTGGTCCAACTGTCAATATTTGAATCCAGCCCTAAATAAATCAACTACAGTTTTATGCATATCAGTAAGAATATCGTAACAGAGAGAGATAGAACCAATTTATGTAGCAGCACCATTGTTGAACATACAACCTTTAAGAAGGAAGGAAGGAAGGAAGGAAGGAAGGAAGGAAGGAAGGAAGGAA